TTTCAGGCATTAGAAGGACGTGTAAAGATCCTCTTCCAGGCAAACCTCTCTGGAGGAGGCCGAGGCCTGCAAAGTGATTCTCCTGGATTCCTTTTCAGAAAGCCACACTGGACAACACGTTCTTGGAAAAACGGGACACAACTTGTTTCAACCGAGGATTTATAAGCAGAATCTTCCACAACAGGCTTGCTCGATGCTTAGGGTTGCCAGACTCCAGGTGGGACCTGGAGATTCTTGGAACTACAACGGATCCTTAGACAACAGGGATCCAGTTCCCCCTGGGGGGGAAATGGCCCTATCGATGCACTGAGAACTCCTCTCCTTTAATAATAATAATAATAATAATAATAATAATAATAATAATAATAATAATAATACTTTCCGTTTATTAATCGCTTTCCCCAGTGGGCTCAAAGCGATGTACAGTTACTCAATATAGACAAGAGACTAACAATGTTTTTGTAGGGGGATAGGGAAGACAACATATATATTCATTTTTAATTGCACGCGCCGTCACTGCCCGGTGTAGACGTCTTCTGGCTTGGCTCCGTCATTTTCTACACGGCTGCTTGTTGGCCAGGCTTCAGGACCCGTATGTCAATCGCCACACTGCCACCGCCTGGCCGGAACATCCATTGCAGGGATTCTTTCGTAGCCGAGAAGCTTTTTCGCCTTCCAAGCCTCGACCAGGATGTCCGACCGTCAGCTAACACCCTCCCACAAGGGAGATTGGCGTGCCCACCCTCTCTAAGGAGTGGTTCCCATTTTATCTACTCGCCGAAGCTTTTGAATCGCTGGGTGGACAATGAGCTGGGGACAACAGGCTGGCTGCTCACACCAGCACGGGGCTCGAACTAACACAGTTCGGATGTTAAGACAATGGGATATACCCACTGTGCCACCGCTCCCCTGAGTCGCATTTCCCCTTTTTGCCTCACCCCTTCCCATAGGAGTTCATTTTTTTCTTTTCTTTTCTTTTTTCAATTTTTCCAATTTTTGGGAAAAAAACAAAAAATCTTCAGGAAAAAAACGGGAAAAAACATTTTTTTTTCTGAATTTTTCTGTTTTTTTTCCGGGCCTTCACATCTCTAATCCAGGCCCCGCCTGGAGGTTGGCAGCCCCAGAATCCTGGGTGCGGGTTACAAGCCCAGGTCAGGACCAATGCTCCCTCTAAGCTGTGGAGTCTCGTGAGCAAAAATCCAACTTTGTGAGTTGCTGGCATTCAAGTTGTGAGTGAACGATTTGGCGACTGCATAAATTAGTTTGCTCTGGAGCCCCATCCTTCCTGAGCCAAGACAGAAATCTGTAAGCTAGAGGCTAAAAAACTGTGACCGATTTCACGCAAGAGCTGTGCCGCGTTCGCGCCTCCCTTTGCCCCGCTTCTATTGGTCAATTTCCCACTTGAAGCCGCGCGGCTACGGTTTGACCTGTGGCTTTGCCCGATTTTCCCCGCGGTTTCGTGATCCTGTTTTTTGTGGCTATAGAAGCCAGGCTACGGTTTACGGGCCCGGTGCATTGCCCAGAGCCCCACCAGACCGACAAAGAACGCCTCTCTAAAATGAGACTGTCTCGGGCGTGTCGGGAACAAGTCGGTGATGTGAGCCTCTTGCTTGGCAGTCCAACAAGCCCCGCAATGACATCACCCGGCCAATTTGCTCAGCGCGGCTATTAAAAAATCAAGCATCACCCTTCTGGGATGGGAACAGCGGTTCATCAACCTGCCTCTTGTCCTCTGACACAAACAGGCGGGCTCCTCCTGTGTTTTACAAGGCTCAAGATAATCGGGTGTCGCTTGAATGCTTGGCTCCTGTTCCCGGTGATGCAACCAGGGCTTGGGCCGAGGCTTTCTCACATCAGAAGCAGGTGAACACAAAAGTTTCTGGAACGCAGCATGGCCACCGAGGCATGCGCCTAATGAAACCGTTCGGTCGAGAAAGGCATCTCCCTGTGGCTTCAGGACTTTCTACACCAGGCGCCTGCCCAGAGTAACAAGCTGAGTGCAGTTTGGGAGGGTCGTAGGGCCAGGTTTACACATGCATAGAGGCCCCCAGGTCTCTCGGTATGGGTAATACCAGGGGTCATTTCCTGCGGGAGCGCACAGGAGCGAAGCTCTGGCAGTAAAGAGCCCGGGGGGGGCGAGCACATGCAACAAGTCCTGCATCCTGCTCCCAGCAGCCCTCAGTCAGAGCAAGAAGCAGCCAGGTAAGCTGCAGAGTCCCCCCCCCCACTCCCCCCAGTCCAAAACAGTCCAGTGGCACCTTTAAGACCAGGTTTTATTCAGGTACAAGCTCTCCCTCCTCTGCGAGGATAGATCTGCACGCCCCCCCCCCTAGCTAGCAATCCAAAACAGTCCGGTGGAGCCTGAGCGGTGGGTGTTGCATTCTGACATACTTCCAGTGATGTCAGGGGGTGTGGCATATGCAAATAAGTTATGCTAATGAACTCCTGCACCTCTTTTTCTACGAAATGACCCTGGAGGGAACACTGGTGCCCACGAGTTCTTGTCTTGTACGAAACGGGCATGCAACAAGCTCCACCCCCTGCTCCCAGCAGCCCTCAGTCAGAGCAAGAAGCAGCCAGGTAAGTTGCAGAGCCCCCCCCCCATCCCCCTGGTCCAAAACAGTCCAGTGGCACCTTTAAGACCAAGTTTTATTCAGGTACAAGCTCTCCCTCCTCTGCGAGGACAGATCTGCACGTTCCCCCCCCCCCCAAATAGCTAGCAATCCAAAACAGTCCAGTGGAGCCTGAGCGGAGGGTGTTGCCTTCTGACACACTTCTGGTGAGGTCAGGGGGTGTGGCATATGCTAATAAGTTATGCTAATGAGTTATGCTAATGAGCTCCTGCACCTCTTTTTCTACGAAATGACCCCTGGGTAATACTCCCTCTAGTCTTGTGAGTAAAAATTCTACTTTGTGAGCTCACAAAGTGAGTGAGCGATTTGGCTGCTGTATAAATTAGTTTGCTCTGGAGCAGTGTTCCCTTTAAGCTAAGTTAATGTGCGCTAGCTCGCAGTTTTTGAGCCTCTGGCTCACACATTTTTGTCTTAGCTCATGAAGGATGGCTCCAGGGCAAACTAATTCATGCAGCAGCCAAATGGCTTGCTCACAGCTTTAATGCCAGTGGCTCACAAAGTAGAATTTTTGCTCACAAGACTCCACTGCTTAGAGGGAGCGTTCCTCTGGAGCCATTCTTCCTGAGCTAAGACCAAAAATAATGAGCTGAGGGCTAAAAAGATGTGAGCTAGTCTCACACTAACTCAGCTTAGAGGGAACACTGGTGGGAAGGCCTCCCATCGGCTACGCTAGTTACTTTATTCTGAAAACAGTGACGTTGGTTGCATTGCTATGTCGCTTGCGGGAACAACACGACAGTGACATAGTGTAGCTCAAGGAATCGCCAGAAACATTAGGGCTCCTGTGGGGCACCATTGTGTCCGACAAGACCTTTCCTGGCATCCACCCAGTGTTTTTAGAACGTGGGCGTGGACAAGTGGACCTTTTGCCCAGCAAGGCTTCTGATTGGCTACTGGAAATTTGATTGGCTGTGTAGATTTTAAAGAAGCATTGCTTCCTCAGCAGGCGCCACCACAGCACAAGGATCGTCACTGTGCGATGGGAGGCAAGCTGCGGCAGCCATTTTGTGGTTGGCTCAGCCTCCTGTGGCAGCCATTTTGTGACTGTGTCAGAATTCCAACGGTGCCCACAAGCTCAAAAAGTATGGAGCCAGTTTGGTGTAGTGGTTAAGTGCGTGGACTCTAATCTGGGAGAAGCGGGTTTGATTCCCCACTCCTATACTTTCACCTGCTGGATGACCTTGGGCAAGCCGTAGTTCTGATAAGAGCTGTCCTCTCAAGAGCAGTTTCTGTTAGAGCTCTCTCAGCCCCACCCACCTCACAGGGAGTCTGTTGTGGGGAGGGGAAGGGAAAGGAGCTTGTAAGCTGCTCTGAGACTCCGAGTGGAGGGCAGGGGGTATAAATCCAATCTCCTCTTCTCTCTTCTTCTTCTTTATGTACAGGCGATCTAACACACACACACCCCAAAAAAAAACCCCAGAAACAACAGCCACAAGCGATTTCTTCGTTACCTGTTTCAGGGATCCACGTCTCGAGTCAATTGCCCCCGTTCACGCAAAGCCGGGATGTTCAACTGGCACAACCACGTCCTTAACTTTTCATCGGCAACGTCACTTTAATTCCCCTTGACGGATGCCGCCCTGGGAAATCTTGTGTTGGGGACGGGAGGCGGCAACAGGTGCTTCACTGCAACAGCTTCTCAGTCAGCCGGGATCAAGCTTTAGCAACAACCGACAACTACCTGTTGGCAATCATCCCCTCCCTGAATTTGAACTTCTGACAAAAATACCAGTAAGCCCTCAACAAAGGGTTTGGTATCTAAAGTGTATAAAATGTTACTAGACAGCTGGGGTCATTTCCTGCAGGAGTGCACAGGAGCAGAGCTCCGGCAGTAAAAAGCCCAGGGGGCGGGCACATGCAACGAGCCCCACCCCCTGCTCAGTCAGAGTAAGAAGCAGCCAGGTAAGCAGCAGAGCCCCCCCCGCCCCCCGGCCCAAAACAGTCCACTGGCACCTTTGAGACCAAGTTTTATTCAGGTACAAGCTCTCCCTCCTCTGCGAGGACAGATCTGCACATTCCCCCCATCCACCCCCAATAGCTAGCAATCCAGAACAGTCCAATGGAGCCTGAGCGGTGGGTGTTGCCTTCTGACACACTTCCGGTGATTCCAGGGGGTGTGGCATATGCAAACGAGTTATGCTAATGAGCTCCTGCACCTCTTTTTCTACGAAATGACCCCTGGTCCTCAGGATTGCAAAGTTTCGATCTGGGCTAGGCATGGATCCGTAACATCCCGGGTCAAACGTCCTGTAACGTTTCCCACACTGAATTAATGCAAAAAGGGCTACATCGGTGGTCGAGGGATATTATTAAACAAAATCGCACAAATATCCGCAGTCTTCTTACGGTCTGGACCAAACGCTATCCTTAAGCAAAATAAGCATAGAAGAATACGTTGACGCACATTAGAAGAATGGCGTTGAGGCAGCAGACCCGGGCCCAGAAAGGAGACGGCACACGGTCCCCGAGGGCCTCTGTGGTGGGTATTTCTGACTTCACAGTTGGGGGGCCGCAGGCGCCGTTCCAGGTCTGTCGTTCTGGGGACTCTGTCAGAGAACAAGAGAAATGGGTAGCGGGCGCCGGGGCTCCTTTTGAAAGAAAAATAAATATTGCACGGGGTAGGTTTGTCCAGTGACTACGATCAACCCCCTGCCCAATGCAGGACCAGCCTGAAGCATCCCTGACAAATATTCGTCCAGCCTCTTCTTGAAAGCCGCCAGTGAAGGGGAGCCAACCACCTCCCTTGGCAGCTGATTCCACCTCTGGACCACTCTGGCCGTGAAAAAGGTTTTTCCTAATATCCAGCTGATACCTTTCTGCATGTAATTGAAACCCGTTGCTTCGGGTCCTCTCCTCCGCTGCCAACTGGAACAGCTCCTGGCCCTCCTCCGAATGACAGCCTTTCGAATATTTAAAGAGAGCAATCACGGCCCCCCTCAATCTCCTCTTCTCCAAATTAAACGTTCCCAAGGCTCTCAGCCTTTCCTCGTAGGGCTCAGTCTCCAGACCCCTGATCATCACTAACTGGAGCTTCCAGTTACAGGAGCAGTCTATCTCCACAGTGGATGCTGAGGTCGAACAACAGGGCAAACCATCATACCCAAACTCATGGGCTTAGCAGAAGACTTTGGCCAGACACTGCTGGAAACAGGATGATGGACCGAACAGACTTTTGTCTTCTTTCAGGATAACTACTATATTACATTTATATGCTGCTTTATCCACAACGGGGACCCAAAGCGGCTTACAACATTCTCCTCTTCTCCATTTTGCCTTCATCAGGACCCTGGGAGGTGGGCTAGGCTGAGACGGTGTGCCTCTCCCAAGGTCACCCAGCAAGTTTCCTTGGCAGAATGGGGATTCGAACCTGGGTCTCCCAGATCCCAGTCGGACACGTAAACCACTACACCACGCAGGCTCTCCGCTTTTATGTTACGGGCAGACCCCAGTTGCCTGACACGCTTTAGAGAGCCAAATGCCTTCGCGTGAAATCTTCTGAGCCACGGTGCTCCAAGGAGCAGAAAAGGGGGTGCCTTGGATGTATCCCCCCATCCGAGTTAGGGTCGCCAACCTCCAGGTGGTGCCTGGAGACCCCCTGTAACTACAACTGAACTCCAAGCAACAGAGAACCCTCGCCGAAACGGCCCCCAATCCACCAACGAGGGTCAGGCCGCCAAGGGGAACCCCACTCCCGAAACGGCTGGATCAGGCCCACGCCCCCAGTGTGATGACGCCACCCGGAAGTGACGTCATCACTCTGGGGGCGTCACCGGGCGACGCTCTAGCAGTCGCCCCAAAAACTCTATGGTGCCATAGAGGGGGTTTTTGGCGACTGCTAGAGTGTCGCCCGGTGACGCCCCCGGCGTGATGACGTCACTTCCGGGTGGTGTTACAGCGGCGTGCACTATGTGCAAATGTACACAGAGTCCCCTGCCGCTACAGTAAGAGACTTGGCAACCCTACCCACTTACCACAAATGCTGGTGCTCCTGCCAAGGAACTCACAGCCTCCCCAATGTCAACAGCGGGAGTGCCAGTCAAAAGGCAAGCGGGCACCAGTGAAGGGGACAGTCTCCACGGGACTCTATGGCACTCTACCCCGCTGAAGCCCCTCTCCTCCCCAAACCTGACTTCCCCAGGGTGTATGAAGTGTGGGGGTTCAAACCTTATTTTGGGTGCAGGGGGCACTTCCTTATTCAAATCTCCTTTGGAGTACAGGCCTCGGGGAGGCCCTGCGAACAGAAGCTCGTGGCATCAGAACCGGTGTTTGGACCGGGCAGCACTGTATGTCACCTTACAGGGCACAGTCCCCAGAGCGTGGGGATGGGTCGCTTGGGGTGGTCCAAAGATTATTTTGGGGTGCAGCCTGGCCCCAGTGTCTGCTTGTGTGATTGTCCTAGGGGCACTGCACTTTGGAGCAGCTGGCACCGGAAATGTGCTTTGGACCAGGATACAGCATATGTCCCCTCGAAGGGGAGAGTCCTGTGAATGTGGGGGTATATGATATGTGGTGGTCCAGGCCTTATTTTGGGGTTCAGAGCTTTCCAACTCTCTCCTTAGTGTTTCTGAATGACTACACGAATAAGTAACTTTTAAGGAACGAATAAGGAAGAGCGAATAAGGAACCAACTTTAGCCTCCTAAAACTCTAGATATTTTGCAACCCAGAGTTGGCAACCCTGTTAGTCCCTGGGCAGAACAGACCTCCATATTCCCAGGGGTGACAACGGAGGTTCTGTTCCCAGCGCGCCCCCTCCCCTCCCCTCCCCCAGGAGAGACGAACGTTCCCCTACCCTCTTTTGCCGTCCCAGAGGGGCTGTTCTCAGGCAGTGGTTTGGGCACCGAAAGTGGGGGAGAAGACAGGGGTCGCTCCGGACGAAGGGTCCACCAGGTCATGCTCTCGACCTGCAGTTTTTAACGAGGAAAGAAACTTATCTGTGGTTGAGCCATAGAGTTTCTGGCCATGCCTAGAGCGACACTGTGTCACTTCCGGGTTTTTTCCGAGACGTGATATTGTGCTGCCTGCGGAGCTGTCTCCCCGCCCCCAGAGCTCCTGCGTGTTGCCAGGCATGGAATGGCAGACTTGGTGGCTGGCCAGCAATGTTCCCGCTAAGCTGTGGAGTCTCATGAGCAAAAATCCCACTTTGTGAGCTCCTGGCATTAAAGTTGTGAGCGAGCCCTTCGGCACCTGCATAAAATAGTTCACTCTGGAGCCCCATCCTTCCTGAGCTAAGACAAAAATGTGTGAGCCGGAGGCTAAAAAACTGTGAGCTAGCTCACACTCACTCAGCTTAGAGGGAACACTGCTGGCCAGTATGCATGCCAACCTCCAGGTGGCAGCTGAAGATGTCCCACGATTGCAACTGACCTCCGAGTGACAGAGTTCCGTTCTCCTGGAGAAAATGGCTGCTTTGGAGGGTGGAGTCAAGGAAGGCCTAAACAAAAGGGCTCTCTCTCTCCCACGGACCAGTGTGACCTCCTGGGCCTTGAAATATGTTGAGCATGTCCCCGTCCACCCCCCCAAACCAGCTCCTTCCCCCCCCCCGGCACTGACAGAACCTGGCATTTCCTTTTCACCTCCAGAAACCTTTCCCTTTTACGCCGCTCACTTACGCAACCGCAAGGGCCCTTCAGCAAACAGACCCAAAGCAGCCCTGTTTACCCCTCCGGCATGTTCCGATCTGCCCCTCCGGAGGCTCCGGAACCAAAGAGAACCAACCTCCCGTAGCTGAGGGGGTGCCGGCAGGGGTCATTTCGTAGAGAAACAGGTGCAGGAGCTCATTAGCATAACTCATTAGCATAACTTATTTGCATATGCCACACCCCCTGACATCACCGGAAGCATGTCAGAAGGCAACACCCACCGCTCAGGCTCCACTGAACTGTTTTGGATTGATAGCTATTGGGGGGGGGACGTGCAGATCTGCCCTCACAGAGGAGGGAGAGCTTGTGCCTGAATAAAACTTGGTCTTAAAGGTGCCACTGGGCTGTTTTGGACCGGGGGCTGGGGGGAGCTCTGCAACTTACCTGGCTGCTTCTTGCTCTGGCTGAGGGCTGCTGGGAGCAGGGGGTGGGGCTTGTTGCATGTGCCCGCCCCCTGGGCTCTTTACTGCCGGAGCTCCGCTCCTGTGCATTCCTGTTCCTGCAGGAAATGACCCCTGCCGGGTACAGGAGCCATGCTCTGCCCCTCAGAGGTGGTCTCTAGGGTGGTCAGCCCCCCCCCAGCCACCAGTGGGGGGTAGGGTTGCCAGATCCAGATTGGGAAATGCCTGGAGATTTGGGGATTAAGACTTCAGTGGGAACAATGCCATAGAAGTCACCCTCCAAGGAAGCCATTTCCTCCAGGGGAACTGATATCTGTTGTCTGGAGACGAGGTACAATTCCGGGGAATCTCCAGGTTGCACCTGGAGGCTGGCATCCCTAGTAGTTTCAAAGAAAGAACTCTGCCTCAGGGAAAAAATTGGATGAAAAGTGAAACAAGAAGAGGAGGAGGAGGAGGAGATCGGATTTATACTCCGCTCCTCCCTCAGAGTCTTAGAGCAGCTTACAACCTCCTTTCCCTTCCCCTCCCCATGACAGACACCCTGTGAGGTAGGCGGGGCTGAGAGAGCTCTTTCAAGGACTGCTCTTGAGAGAACAGCTCTGAGAGAACTTGTGACTGACCCAAGGTCAACCAGCTGGCTTCATGTAGAAGAGAGTGGGGAATCAAAACCCGGTTCTCCCGTTACAATATCGAAAAAAGAGAGGTTTGCTACCCGACCTCTTCCTCTGCCTTTTGTGGATCTCGGTTGCTTCATCACGAATGCAGAAAGCTTAGCTTAATTTAAATTCTGCCTTTCCCT